GACCTGATTTCCTCGGGCAGGCTGTTCCAGAGCCTTGGGGCCCTGACAGCAAACGCTCTGTCCCCTTTAGTTTTCAGTCGAGACTCTGGAACAGACAACAGACCTCTGCCCGAGGATCTCAAGGTGCGTGCTGGTGCGTATGGGACTAAAAGGTCAGAAATATAACAAGGCGAGAGGCCATGAAGAGCTTTAAAAGTGATCAATAGAATTTTAAAGTTAATTCTAAAACATACTGGGAGCCAGTGTAATGAAGCTAAAATAGGAGTAATATGGTCATATTTCTTTGTTCTGGTTAAAAGCCTGGCAGCTGAGTTCTGGACAGTCTGGAGTCGATCAATAGATTTTTGGGTTAAACAAGTGAAAAGGCTGTTGCAATAATCCAGGCGTGATGAGATGAAGGCGTGTAAAATGGTCTCGGTGTCCTTAAAAGTTAACATAGATTGAATTTTTGCTATATTTCTAAGTTGATAAAAACATGATTGAACAAGCTTTGTGGTGTGCTGCTCGAAATTTAAATTACTATCAAACCAGACACCAAGGTTCTTTGCCACAGACTTAATGTGATTTACTAGTGAACTGCTGGGACCCGATGACCAGGATTTCTGTTTTGTCTGAGTTCAGCTGGAGGAAATTATTTGACATCCATTTTTTACTTCACAAAGGCAGTTGTTAAGTGAACTCAGCATTCCAGGGTCTGTGGATCTGACAGGCAAGTATATTTGTGTGTCATCAGCATAAATATGAATAGAAATGCCATGTTTATGGATAATATGTCCAAGGGGAAGCAGATACAAGGCAAACAAAATGGGTCCTAAGACCGACCCCTGAGGCACACCATATTTAACTGGACAGAACGAAGAGACATAGTTGTTTACAGACACACAAAACTTCCTATTTGACAGGTAGGATGAAAACCATTCTAGGGCAGTACCAGAGATCCCCACCCAGTGCCTCAGTCTGTCATATACTGTCATAATGTTGTGATCAATGGTGTCAAAAGCAGCGCTAAGGTCCAGGAGTACCAGGACTGAGCACATACCTTCATCAGCAGACATTAAAAGGTCATTGGTGACTTTAAGCAGGGCAGTCTCAGTGCTGTGGTACTTCCTGAAACCAGACTGAAACTTTTGAAATAATTTGTTATTCACCAATTATAATTATAATTCTCAATTTACACATATATACAACAATTGCCTTTTTCCTAGCTGATTATTTAAAGGTTGGACCTGCTGATTCCAATTCTTTCCAACAAACATCTTTCTAAGTTTTCTCTATTGAAAAAACATTTTTTATTAGATCCCCATCAGCACCAGTATAAATATTGGATATTCTCAATGGGGTCTATTCAATTGTATGGTCATAATGAAAAATTGATTGTTAGACAACGTTCACATTTTCACTGGAGGGAGCTGTTTTGTAGCTACAAATAAAATCCAATCATTTAATATATTTTAATTGAAAATATTTAAAGAATAAATGACACTATTTCTAGTAGGCCATTTAGTTCTACTTTATTCTCCACCATATTTTAGTGTTCACTCATAAACTACAGTAATCTTCTCACTTTGCTTTTCCCTTTAGATACACAAGCACACACCTACACCTGTCTCTCTGCCTGTATCTGTCTGCTCTGACTTTAATGATTTTAGTAGTTTTCTACTTTTCACCCGCCATTCCATTTTCATAGCAGCAGGTGACCAGTGTGGAGGAGGCTTGTTATTAATTACCAGTCGAGACCACCCTGGTATGAATGACATCAGCCCCAACAGCTGTGTTTACTGATGCTTTATCTGGTCCATGCTTTATAATATCCAACGTGTCTGCTAACCTGATACAAGAACGCATTTCTTTCTGTGTGTTTCTCTGCAAATGTTAATAGTGAGCGTTATGTCTTCTTCCACACCTATGACATGTTTTAGCGTGTGTGTGTGTGGCTGTGACATTAGCTGGTTACTGTCTGTGCTGCTGTGCTGCTGTGTGCATGATGTGGAACACCGTGCAGAAAATTGGATATTTGATGCAGCTCGGACCCAGTCACCGGTCATGGTCACTATTCCAGTCCCCAGGCAATTGATCTGCGCATCTCAAGCTGTAGTGGGTGACTTCTATCCAACAAGCTATTAAACAAGCTACCAAACAAGCTTGCAAGCCTTACTGGAGTTCTGAAGTGGCCTGACCCCCCTGCGATTTATGCTCTACAACCTGTTGTATTGTGAGAAAATAAATCTACCTACCTATCACCTGTTGTGCAGACAGAAATGTAAATCCATCACAAATCATGTAACAAATGACTTTAAGGTAGAAGTATAAGCATAAAGTATCTTCTTTTAATGCAAACACTGTAGGAGTTACCTGTATAATGTCTCCATTAATTTGTACTCAACATGAACAAATACTAAATACATCTGGCCACAGAAAACAGAAAAACCTTTGTTGTTTTACATGTTTTTATAGAAAATAATGTGTATTAATAATGCGAGTGATCAAACCAACTGCCTATGACTCTATAAAATAAATGTAAATGCTCCGTATTTGTATAGCGCCTTTCTAGTCTTTTCAACCACTCAAAGCACTTTTTACACTACATCTGTATTCACTCACATTTATACACTGAGCCTAAGTGCTCAAATAGAAACTAACATTCACACACATTCATACACTGGCGGAACAGCCACCGGGGGCAATTCGGGGTTCAGTATCTTGCCCAAGGACACTTCGACATCCAGCCTGGGGGGAGCCGGGATTGAACTACCGACCTTCCAATTAACGGCCAACCCGCTCTACCTCCTGCTCCACAGCTGAATGTTTTGCTTTGAGTTTGGTTTAATAACTTGGCCAAAGAGAGAAGTGACATGTTACATTTTCCATTATGACTGTGCTCTGGCAGTTAGCCTAGCATGTGATTTAATGTTAGGGGGCCTTTAAACAGCCACTGCAAAACTGTTCATGAGCTTGTAGGGATTTATAATAAAGTAATGCTAAGTGTACACAAGCAGTCCTAAAACAAGGTCATTTACAATGTCCGGGTATGTGAGTGGTCTCGTCTGGTTCTGTAACATTAATCCAGTCTTAGGCTGCCAAGTCATATGCCTGGACGTTGTTTATCGTTATCAGTTTGTCCAAATAACGTTTCTCAGGAGTGACTTTAAATTTCTCCTGGTAGGGTCCCTTCTCTTTTTTTCCCTTCTCCGTTTCTTCCATTTTCCTTTAGATTATACCTCTCGTCGGTGTGTTATATGGTTTTTAGCCAAAACAAAATGGCGCAACCGGCAGGCAAACAGAGCTTGTTCCTGTAAACATGGCACCCCCATCCCAGCATGCAACACTGCGTGATGTACCTCCACACACTAGACTATAAAGTGTAGCCCACACTAAAAAAATACGGGCCTTAGGCCTAAGCAGCGCTATTTTGACCGTCAGTGCATCCAGTAATCTTTCTGCAGTGTGCTCTCACTTTAGCGGCAGACTGCACCGAGGACACAGAGAAGCGGGTTAAGGGGTGGCTGTGGCTCAAGAGATAGAGCAGGTTGCCTTTTAATCGGAAGGGCAGTGGTTCAATCCCAGGAGCAGCATGTCAAAGTGTTCTTGGGCAAGATACTGAAACCTGAATTGCCCCTGGTGGCTGTTCCACCAGTGTGTCATGGTGAATGCAGATGTGTAAAAGCGCTTTGAGTGATCGAAAAGACTAGAAATGCACTATACAAATGTGGAGCATTTACATTTTACATACTAATATGTATGTCTAAACAATGCTTTGAAATGAAACAAGAGCAAACTCAAACTAAACGCTTTCAGTATTTTCATAAGCCTGAAACTCCTGCTGCTCCGGGTGACACTGCAGCTCCAGCAGATGATACGAACGTTAATGTTAGCAGTTCCTGGATGCTTGCTCATGCATTTTTTTTGGTTTTTGGAAGAGAAGTGTGCTTGAGAAGATGTGGACCCCTTTTTGTATCCTCACTTTTAAGTTTGTAATATTCTGTAGTGAAAAAGTTTTGGTGATAGAACTGCACAAATGTTCATTGTTATTACTGCTACCAATAAGCCTCAGCTTTCCATTATTGTTTATAATAGTTGCAACTTGCACTCTTAAATGTGCATTAAAAAATGGCCCGCTGATAAGACCTGTGCTCCAGGGACCATATTCATCTAAGCCTGCAGTGTTGATAACACAGAAGCAGTCCTTTAGAATTCTCTCAATTACATGTACAAGCATACCATGTATTAGTGGGTGTAGTGGTGCTTATGGGACTTTACTCTGGGACATGTCACTCTGAGACGGGTCGCTTGGATACAGGGGAGTATGAGTCTGGGAGGGAAGAACTACAGTATACTCACTACCAAAAACTAGACTACACCACATGAACTGAGTTGCAGGCAAGTCTGACAGGTAATATCGAGCAGGGAAATCCAAACGACACGGAAACAAGCAGGGACACTCGACTAACAATGACATTACATTTATTCATTTAGCTAACGCTTTTATCTGACAATTGCTAGCAGATAAAAGCATGTGCAACCAGAGGTTGCAAACCTCTGGAGCGTAAGGTGTTTTGCTCAGGGACACATGGGTAGATGTGTCACACTGGGGAATTGTCTAATCCACTGCACCATCACCGCCCCTGATGACAGCAACAACAAGCTACAATGATCCGACAAACACTGAACAGAGTACATATATAATGACACAAACGAGCAGGGAGGGAGAGACACAAGGTGCGACACATCAGGTAACCAAGTGACAAGCAGACACGGAAGACTTCAAAGTAAAACAGGAACAGGCAGAAATGCAGACTAACAGACAGACTCGCTGACACCCAGACGCAGACAATTCAAAACACATAAAGAGGCAGACAATGGACAAAACTCGCAGACACCAGACTCAGACCAGGATCGTGACATGATGTACAGGGTATTTTACTTTGCACCTTGTACCATCGTAGTTACACTAATATTACCACTCTTGTTCATATTTATGTTCTTTGTCTTATCTTTCTTAGGCTGTTACCTCCTGGCAAACACACGTTTCACTTCGAGGCCTGGTTATGTGGGTCGGCTTCACGGTCCTTTTTTACCGGGGAACCACAAATACTGCCTGAGGTTCTACTACCTGCTTCATGGATTTAGAAAAGTAGACAATGCTCTAAGTCTTTACATTTATGACGAGAACAATGTGGCCCTTGAGAAGGTGTGGAGCCTGGCTGACACTTCCAGGGCTGTATGGACTGAGGTGGAGATCACCTACATGAAGCCCATGTTTTCCAAGGTATGAAGCACTTAGATAGGTGATGTACGTGGAAGGTGATGCTTTTTAATGACCTGAAAGCAAGGCAGAGCAGGGCAGTTTTTTTATAAAGCACATTTCAAACATAGACACAAAGAAAAGTAATAGAATAATAAGAAAAACAAGAATAATTAACATAATAGGATTACAGTGCTATAAAATGGTCAATGGGGAGTTAAATTTGTCCAAAACATTAAAAACATGAGGGCCTTCACATAAAAGGCGAGGAGATCTGACTATAATTACATTTGTGTGTTCCATTAATTGAATTTGTTGTTAGATGTGTTCTTATGGTATGTTTGACAACGTTAGCCTAATTCTTTTGCTGCAGCAGCTGTACTGTATGTCGGTGTTTCAACATTAAGAAATTTCTTATCACTGCAGAAATCAGATTCATTTAACACACTCAAAAAATGTTCCAAACATCATTCTAAATTAACTTCATAAAACAACGAAACTCAATTCAATTCAATTCAATTCAATTTTATTTATATAGCGCCAAATCACAACAACAGTTTTCTCACAGCGCTTTTCATAAAAGAGCAGGTCTAGACCGTACTCTGTGATGTTATTTACAGAAGCCCAACAGTTCCCACCAAGAGCAAGCACTAGGAGACAGAGGCAAGGAAAAACTTCCTTTAAGAGGCAGAAACCTCGAGCAGAACCATGGCTCAGGGTGGGCGGCCATCTGCCTCGACCGGTTGGGGTGAAGGAGAAAGAGAGAGAGAGAGAGAGAGAGAGAGAGAGGGGAGGGAGGCAGCCTACACAATATACACACAGAGGTACAGACAGTGAAGGTAATGTTGCTATAGACTAAATGAAAAATGGTACAGATATTTATAATAGTGTTAATGGTAACAATCGTAATGTTAATGATTATAATAACAATAATAACAATAAGACTAGCAACAATAGTCGTTGCAGTAGAGGGTGTCGAGCAGGAACACAGGGGCAGCAGGTGACCCGCAGCCACAGATCCAGACTCCACAGCTCCAGAGCCAGAAAACCTGCAGGAAGTGATAGGAGAGAGGAGAGAGACGAGAAAGCACAAGACTACCAGAAAGGGGAGAAGTTGTGTTAGTAACATGCAATAATGGGATAAGGTTGCATACAGAGGGAGAGAAAGTAGAGGAGAGAGGAGCTCAGTGCATCATGGGAAATCCCCCGGCAGTCTAGGCCTATAGCAGCATAACTAAGGGATGGTTCAGGACTAACCTGAGCCAGCCCTAACTATAAGCTTTATCAAAGAGGAAAGTCTTAAGCCTACTCTTAAATGTGGAGATGGTGTCTGCCTCCTGAACCCAAACTGGAACCTGGTTCCACAGGAGAGGAGCTTGATAGCTGAACGCTCTGGCTCCTAGTCTACTTTTGGAGACTCTAGGAACCACAAGTAACCCTGCATTCTGGGAGCGCAGTGCTCTGGTGGGGTAGTAAGGTACTATGAGCTCTTTAAGATAAGATGGTGCCTGACCATTAAGAGCTTTGTAGGTAAGAAGAATGATTTTAAATTCTATTCTGGATTTTACTGGAAGCCAATGCAAAGAAGCTAAGACAGGAGAAATGTGATCTCTTTTCCTGGTTCCTGTCAGAACACGTGCTGCAGCATTCTGGATTAGCTGAAGAGTCTTAATGGACTTTTTCGAGCAGCCTGATAATAAGGAATTGCAGTAATCCAGCCTAGAAGTAACAAATGCATGGACTAGTTTTTCTGCATCATTTTTAGACAGGATGTTCCTGATTTTCGCAATATTACGTAGGTGAAAAAAGGCGGTCCTTAAAATTTGCTTAATGTGAGACTTAAACGACATGTCCTGATCAAAGATAACTCCAAGATTCCTCACAGTGGTGCTGGAGGCCAGGGCGATGCCATCCAGGGAAACTATATCTTTAGATAATGCGTCACGGAGGTGCTTAGGCCCCAGAGCAATAACTTCAGTTTTATCTGAGTTTAACATGAGAAAATTACAGGTCATCCAGGTTTTAACATCCTGAAGGCACATTTGAAGTTTAGCTAACTGATGAGTTTCATCTGGCTTGATCGATAGATATAACTGAGTATCATCTGCATAACAATGAAAGCTTATGGAATGTTTCCTGATAATATTGCCTAAAGGAAGCATATATAAAGTGAAGAGGATTGGTCCAAGGACAGATCCTTGAGGAACTCCATGAGTAACTTTGGCGTGCATGGAGGACTCATCGTTAACATGTACAAACTGAAATCGATCTGATAAATAGGACTAAAACCAGCTTAGAGCGGTTCCTTTAATGCCAATGAAATATTCCAGTCTCTGCAATAGGATCTGATGGTCAATGGTATCAAATGCAGCACTAAGATCTAATAAAACCAGTACAGAGACAAGTCCTTTGTCTGATGCAATAAGGAGGTCATTAGTAATTTTCACCAGTGCTGTCTCTGTGCTATGATGAGCTCTAAATCCTGACTGAAAATCCTCAAATAAACTATTGCTCTGTAGAAAGTCACACAGCTGTTTAGCAACTGCTTTCTCCAGAACCTTAGAGAGAAATGGAAGATTAGATATAGGTCTATAGTTGGCTAAAACATCCGGATCAAGTTTGGGCTTTTTCAGAAGAGGTTTAATTACAGCTACTTTAAAGTACTGTGGTACATAGCCTGTTGATAAAGATAGATTGATCATATCTAGTATAGAGGTGCTGACTAAGGGTAGAACATCTTTAAGCAACCTAGTCGGGATGGGGTCTAAGAGGCAGGTTGATGGTTTAGATGAAGAAATTATTGAAGTTAGTTGGTAAAGATTGAGGGAAGCAAAACAGTCTAAACATGTATCTGGTTCTACAGCTGTTTCTAAGGTTCCTGAGTTAAGAGATAAGTCGGTGCCAGTTGAGGGCAGGTCTTGGTGAATTTTGTCTCTAATAGCTAGAATTTTATCATTAAAGAAGCTCATGAAGTCGTAACTACTGAGAGCTATGGGAATACTTGGCTCAATAGAGCTGTGACTCTCTGTCAGCCTGGCTACAGTGCTGAAAAGAAACCTGGGGTTGTTCCTATTTTCCTCTATTAATGACTAGTAGTACGCTGCTCTGGCCTTCCTATAAGTTTTAAGACTATCTTGCCAAATTAAACGAGAATTTTCCACTTTGGTGGAACGCCAATTCCTCTCAAGTTTCCGTGATATTTGCTTTAATTTGCGAGTTTCAGTATTATACCATGGAGCTAACCGTCTTTGTTTTAGTATTTTCTTTTTTAGAGGGGCTACAGAGTCGAGTGTCATTCGCAGCGAGCCTGCAGCACTATCAACAAGATGATCGATTTGGGAGGGACTGAAATTAGCATAGGAGTCCTCCGTTACTTTGTGACTAGATAATGTATTTAGAGCTGATGGAATCGCATCCTTAAATTTAGCTACAGCACTATCAGACAGACATCTTGTATAGAAATTTTTGCCCAATGGCGTGTAGTTCAGCAATACAAACTCAAAAGTTATCAAACAGTGGTCGGATAAAGAGGGATTCTGTGGGAACGCCACTAAATGTTCAATTTCAATACCATACACCAAAACAAGGTCCAGGGTGTGGTTAAAACAGTGAGTCGGTTCATGAACACTCTGAGAGATGGAATCTAACAAAGAGATAGACGCAGTACTGAAGCTGTCATTCTCAACATCCACATGAATATTAAAATCTCCTACAATAATAACTTTAAAGTTGACAAAAACTCAAGACAAGACTTTCAAATGAGTTATAGTTTAGTTTAGGTTTAGAGCTGATTAGTAGGCTAGAGTCGAAGATAGCTGCAACTCCACCTCCTCGGCCTGTGCCTTGAGAAATGTGAGTATTAATATGACTGGGAGGGGTGGATTCATTTAGGCTAACATATTCTCCATCACCCAGCCAGGTTTCAGTAAGACCAAATAAATCAATATCATAATCTGATATTAGTTCATTTACTAGTACACCTTTAGAAGAGAGAGTCCACATTTAACTCTCCTATTCGTTTGCACTATTGCTCTTGTGGTTTTAATTTTTATGAGGTTTTTATGCACAGCTCCTCTTCTGTTTACCTTTTTAAATAATTTCGATGGTCGGGGGGCAGACACCGTCACTATAGGATTTTCACTAAGTAACTCCTGAAATGGAGGAGCAGAGAAGTGTGTTAGACTGCGACTCTGCCTCCTGGTCTCAACTCTGGGTTGTCATGGATTTGGTCCACTAATAAACTTGGCCAGATTTCTAGAAATGAGAGCTGCTCCTTCCCAAGTGGGATGGATGCCGTCTCTCCGAATCAGACCAGGTCTTCCCCAGAAAGTCTGCCAATGATCAACAAAGCCCACATCGTTTGCTGGACACCACCTCGACAACCAGCGGCGGAATGACGACATGCGGCAATACATGTCATCACCACAGCTTCAGTTCACCATTTACTGAGAACTCACCTCATTATGTTCCCAGATAGCAAAAGGTGGGTGCTACTTAAGTAGACTCAGACTTAAAGTCATAATAAACTAATTCATAGTCAACTTGAATACCAAAATATATGCTCATAATGGAAGCTTCAGATTACAACAAGCACAAAGCTTTAGAGCTTCACTCAGTCTCTGTAGGATGATGTAGGTGTAGAAAGCATCAGCATGACCCACAGCAAACAGAAAGCAGAAAACAGTCTGTGGGGTCTTCTATGGATGGTTCTGTCATTTTCCAAGAGAGCAGGGTCAGTACACAGGGCTTTTATAGCATTGATCTCTTATTTGGAACATAACCTGTACTGGAGCAGATTAGCCGTTAAGCATCAATTACCACTTTTAGAAGTAAAGCACAAAGAGTGAATCAGAAGAATCATAGTCGGATCCTTCACTCTTGTCATGTATGTTGCATAGTTTGCCCACCAAAGGGCACGCCACAAAACAAAAGAATCAGCTGTCCGGAGTCCGGAGTCTACTGGAGCATGCAGGAACAAAGGAGAGATCTGGTTAACCAACGAATGACTCAGTTATTTAAGTCTAAATACATGACTTAAATAATAATAAAATAGCCTCCATCACTTCTCCTCTCCTGAAAACATTCATGACCACCTCTCCCGGCTTCTTCCGGGTCACAGCAGTTTGTTGCCTACAGTAGGTCTGTTGTGGAGGCTACGCTGTTGACAGACTTGATTGTAGATTTATTTCTGAAACAGGGTGTGGCAGTTCTAGCAATTGGCCCTATTATTTCTCACTAGTTCATCACTTCCAAATATTTTCTAACATCACTTGCAGCGGCTAAAGCCACATATTGTTTAATTAAATTAGCTACATGTCAGAACCCTATTGAAACTGAAGGAATTATTTTTATCACATCACATATCACATTTTAGGCGGCCTTAACATGCTCAAAAACTCCCCAAACTTGGCACAAAATTTAAGGGTGGCGAAAGTTTTCGTGTCATATTGTTTTCACGCCCCTACAGTGCAGCCCCAGGGCCACATTTAACCAAATTGTACAAAATTTTTGTGGTCATATCATGTCTAGACCTAGAAAAAAGTCTCTGGGAGTGATGCCCATAACCCAACAGGAAGTCGGCCATTTTGATTTTAACGGTCACTTTTGGCAATTCACAGGTTACATACTTCAACTCCTCCCCCTAGGGAATTAATCTGATCAACTTCTTTATTTTCGCTGTGTAATCTTAAGGCATTGATGATGAAAAGTTGTGCAGTGAGTTTTTGTTGATGGGCATGTCTGTGGCATGGCATCAAAAATCGATGATTCACCATGAAACAGGAAGTTGTTAAAACTTCAGCATACATTCTCAGATCTGTACCAAACATTACATGTTTCATGAGAGTCCCGCCCTGAACACTACTGACAACAGGAAGTGTCAAGTTTAACGCTGTGATGTACTAGTCCTAGCAGGTTGGCCCCATCCACTTCAAAGCAGTCACATAAGAGCCTTAAGACGTTGATGATGCTATGTTGTTGACAGCTTGTCTGTGGCGTAGTGGCGAAGTTCGATGCTTTGCCATGAAACAGGAAGTTGTTATAACTTCAGTGTGCATGCTCAGATCTGTCCCATACTTTACATGGTGGATAAGAGTCCCACCCTGAACACCATATGCATGGAAATATCCACTCAATGTCATAGCACTACCTACTGGCAACAGGAAGTAAGCCCTTTGTGACAGAAATCATTTGATTTACATGGCATTAAAACAGCATGATCCACACTTCACCTACTGGTACACAACATATAATTAGCGGGTGATCTCTAGCGCCAAATATTGGACACAGGAAGTGACAATTAACTCCTTTGTGACCTGTCCAAAACGCGTCATTGCACACCCAACGCTGCTTGCAGCTTCAATTAATAGTGCCCGAGCATGAAATATTTCATCATTGACAGGGTGCGTGGTTTAACAAACTCATTTCTCCCATCGACTCCGACCTATTGTAAAATTAGTGAGTTAATGGCATGTCCGTAGCGTGGTAGCTAAGTGTCCTCTACTGAGCTCCGAATTGCCCCCGATGGATGTTCCATCTGTGTATGAATGTCTGTTTGAGCAGTTAGGCTCAGTGTATGGGTGAATGTGATGTAATGTAACAGCGCATTTACATTTTACAATCTTGTGCCTGGAAGTTTTGTGAGTTGTATGGCGATGAAGCTCAAAACTTCGCCATCAAACAGGAAGTTCTTGTAACTACACTTTATGTGCTCTTATCTGTACCAAATGTCACATGTTTGATCATTTTAGGATTGATTCTATTGTTTGTTTTTAAAGCCCATCATGGCCTAGCTCCAGCCTATATCACTGATCTGTTGAAGCTGCATGCTCCTTCAAGGTCATTAAAGTCTGTGAAACAGGCTCTTCTTGTTGTCCCTAAAACACAACTCAAGAGCAGAGGGGATCGAGCTTTTTCAGTCGCAGCCCCGAGACTGTGGAATGAATTGCCTCTCCATGTCAGACCGGCCCCCAGCCTTCCGGTTTTTAAATTGCGTCTTAAAACACATTTTTATCCCTTGGCATTTAATCCGGCATGAGAGCTGTATGTTGTATTTGTCTATTTATTATTTCATGTCAATGCACAGCACTTTGGTGAACCTGGTTGTTTTAAATGGGCTTTAGAAATAAAGTTTGATTGATTGATGAGTTGAAGGCGTGCCGTCAAATATCAATGATGCCCCATGAAACAGGAAGTTTTTATAATGTCAGTGAACATGCTCAGATCTGTACCAAACTTTAAGTGCTACATTAAAGTTCCCCCCTGAACACATCTACATGCCAAAATTCATTCAATATCATAGCGCCAGGATGTAAGCCCTTTGTGACAAAAATAATTAGACTTACCTGGCATTTTAACAGCATGGTCCACACTTCACAGCATATGCATAAATAGCAGGTGTTCTCTAGCGCCACAAAGGCGACACAGGAAGTGACGGTTCACTCCTTCCTGACCATTACAAAAGTTGCAGCACTTTCCAACCATGTCTCCCGACCTCCAGCCACTGCTCCCACGATAGGCCCCAAGGCTCGTAAAGGCACGAGGGTTGCCCAACTCTGCTTACAGCTTTAATTTTTTTTCTTTTTTCTGCGAATGAATATCAAAATTTGGGGACCTAAACATGCTCAAAAACTAAAGCGTTCGAAGCGTGTAACAATTCAGAATCGCGTCGGCAGAGCAGCGGCACCTGCGGTGCGGCCTCTGTTTCTATTTGGCAGACCCAGACAACTACACACAATATTTCCTTTTGTGTTCATTAGTAGTAGTACTCTATAGTTTATAATGGATCTTTAAATCTTTGTTAATCTAAGTTTTTATTCTTATTTATCAAAACTTTAGTACATTTTGTTGTCCTTTTGTTCATCATTTTGTTAACTTAGTGAGGTCTCATAATAACAAATGTAAGGGATAATCTTTGTTTACATTATGTGTGAAAAGAATATTGGCTGATATATATAATATGCATATCGGATTTTAAAATCCTCAAATATCGAAATGAGTATCGGTCTTAAAAATCCCAGATCGGTCGGGCTCTAATATGGAATGATAAATGGACTAGAATGTTAACTGGATAAATGGTTGAATAGCATTTTTCAGTCTTTTTTCTGTCTTCCAGGTAGTGTTTGTCAGCATATGTAAGAACTTCTGGGAATGTGGCCTGGTAGCCATTGATGACATCACTATCAGCCTGGGGGACTGTCAAATCACAGCAGGTAAAAGACTCACTACATACACTGCTAACTGTTGTTGATGCCTGAAATAAGCCAGGGGCCTTCCAAGTTCCTAAAACAGGTTATGTTCCAGATAAGAGATCAACTCTAACGTTATAAAAACACCACCTATTGACCAATCAGGTCTCTTGGAAAATGACATCACCATCCGTAGAAGATCCCACAGACTATTTTCTACTTTGTTTGTTGTGGATGATGAAGAGAATCTTGAGCGATTTTTTATATTTAATGTTTAATATGAATGTTTTTATTTTAGGTTAGTAGTTATCTTGTTGCCCATGATAGAGACTGGCAATGTGGCACCCCACCTTTTGCTATTTGGATGTAGGTAATGTGGTGAGTTTTCAGTAAATATTATACAGCCTTTCGACCACTATTTGTGCTCCTTTCATGGCATAAATTGATTTTTTCATTTTGTTGCTTTATAAAGTTTATTTACAGCACCATTTGGAACATATTTGAGTGTGTTAAATTAATCGGATTTTTGAAGTGACGAGAAGTTCCTAAAAGTGAGGTGGAACAACCACTTATTCAGTACCCAAGGCTAATTAACCGACACACAGCCGAGCTAAAAGAAAAAGGCTAATATTTTTATACACGCCATAAGAACACATTAAATAAATGCTTTTATATTATAGGTTACGCCTGTTCATTTTGGCATTCACACTGTCAGCGATTTTCCGTCTTACTGCCTGTTTCAGCTGCAGCTGTGCTACTTAGACTATGGCTGTTTTTGTAATATTGCAGTTTGCTCTTTGTTTGTAAAAAATGATGCTCCTCTTCCTTCAGTTCTAATAGGGTCCTTGCACGTTTCGTGTTTGGGCCCTAATAATTCCTTCAGTTCTAATAGGGCCCTACTAATACCATACTCATGTCATTACAATTATTGTATAACATAATAATGATTAGCAGAGCTCGCCTACATAGGCTATATACTTTTTGTCGTGGAGTAGTTATTACCTTACATATAATCTGCCACAATGACTATATTCAATGTAGCATATTCACATTTAGTTTGTCCCTCTACCAGCACGCTTTTCATTCTAGCCAAAACTACGAAAGATTTTCAACCACCATCTATGACATAGTGACCCAGAGAAAACGCTGCTCTTGAATGCATCTAATACTACAAGGCTGTCTACAACCAGGACCTGCAACTTTGAGATTTCACATGTTTCACATTTGAAACAGTTGAAAGAGGATCTAACTTAGTTAACCTTGTTTGGCAAAAAACCATGTTAGATACTCAGCTCACGTTTCACAGATATGTTTAGAAGAATATGTTGAACGGTATAGTTTAACCACTCATTAATGTTACCTACTGATCAACATGGCATTAGCTAGCTTTGTGGCTAATTTAATTTAACAATGTGCGGCGTTAGCTGCTGTAAGTGATGTTAGAAAATATTTAGAAATAATAAACTCCGGAGAGATGAGCTAGAACTGCCACACCGTTTCAGAAATACATCTACAATCAAGTCTGTCAACAGCGTAGCCTCCACCACTCAACTACTGTAAAATTAAACATACTGCTGTGACCCGGGAAGAGGCCAGGAGAGGGCCATGACAAACAGGAGGGTTAGCAAGTATTGTTCCTGAATGTTTTCAGGAGAGTAGAAGTGGTTAGGGCTATATTATTATTTAAGTCATGTATTTAACGTGATGCATGACCAAGTTACACCTTACAGCCCTCTCCGTTGTTCCTGCATGCTCCTGTAGATTCCGGTCAGCTGATTCTTTTGTTTTGTGTGCTTTTAATAGGGGAGTTGCTGAGTGCCCTCTGGTGGGAAAACTGTGCAACACTCATGACATGAGTGAAGGATCCGACTAACAACAGTCGTTATGGTCATTATGGCAGTCTAGGCCTATTGCAGCGTAACTTAGAGATAACTAAGGGACCCGAGGCAGCCCTAACTATAAGCTTTATCAAAGAGAACAGTCTTACTCTTAAATGTGGAGATGGTGTCTGCCTCCTGAACCCAAACTGGAACCTGGTTCCACAGGAGAGGAGCTTGATAGCTGAACGCTCTGGCTCCTAGTCTACTTTTGGAGACTCTAGGAACCACAAGTAACCCTGCATTCTGGGAGCGCAGTGCTCTGGTGGGGTAGTAAGGTACTATGAGCTCTTTAAGATAAGATGGTGCCTGACCATTAAGAGCTTTGTAGGTAAGAAGAATGATTTTAAATTCTATTCTGGATTTTACTGGAAGCCAATGCAAAGAAGCTAAAACAGGAGAAATATGATCTCTTTTCCTGGTTCCTGTCAGAACACGTGCTACAGCATTCTGGATCAGCTGAAGAGTCTTAATGGACTTTTTCGAGCAGCCTGATAATAAGGAATTGCAGTAATCCAGCCTAAAAGTAACAAATGCATGGACTAGTTTTTCTGCATCATTTTTAGACAGGATGTTCCTGATTTTCGCAATATTACGTAGGTGAAAAAAGGCGGTCCTTGAAATTTGCTTAATGTGAGACTTAAACGACATGTCCTGATCAAAGATAACTCCAAGATTCCTCACAGTGGTGCTGGAGGCCAAGGCAATGCCATCAAGGGAAACTATATCTTTAGATAATGCGTTTGGGTTCAGGAGGCAGACACCATCTCCACATTTAAGAGTAGGCTTAAGACTTTCCTCTTTGATAAAGCTTATAGTTAGGGCTGGCTCAGGAGAGTCCTGAACCATCCCTTAGTTATGCTGCTATAGGCCTAGACTGCCGGGGGATTTCCCATGATGCACTGAGCTCCTCTCTCCTCTACTTCCTCTCCCTCTGTATGCAACCTCATCCCATTATTGCATGTTACTAACACAACTTCTCCCCTTTCTGGTAGTCTTGTGCTTTCTCGTCCCTCTCCTCTCTCCTCCTATCACTTCCTGCAGGTTTTCTGGCTCTGGAGCTGTGGAGTCTGGATCTGTGGCTGCGGGTCACCTGCTGCCCCCGTGTTCCTGCTCGACACCCTCTGCTACAACGACTATTGTTGCTAGTCTTATTGTTATTATTGTTATTATAATCATTGACATTACGATGGTTACCATTAACACTATTATAAATATCTGTACCATTTTTCATTTAGTCTATAGCAACATTACCTTTACTGTCTGTACCTCTGTGTGTATATTGTGTAGGTTGCCTCCCTCCCCTCTCTCTCTCCTTACATCCCTCTCTCTCTCTCTCTCTCTCTCTCTCTCTCTCTCTCTCTCTCTCTCTCTCTCTCTCTCTCCCCAACCGGTCGAGGCAGATGGCCGCCCACCCTGAACCATGGTTCTGCTCGAGGTTTCTGCCTCTTAAAAGGAAGTTTTTCTTTGCCTCTGTCGCCTAGTGCTGCTCTTGGTGGGAACTGTTGGGCTTCTGTAAATAGCATCATAGAGTACGGTCTAGACCTGCTCTTTTATGAAAAGCGCTGTGAGATAACTGTTGTTGTGATTTGGCGCTATATAAATGAAATTGAATTGAATTGAATTGAATTGAATTGAAGTCACAGAGATGCTTAGGCCCCAGAACAATAACTTATGTTTTATCTGAGTTTAATATTAGAAAATTACAGGTCATCCAGGTTTTAACATCCTGAAGGCACATTTGAAGTTTAGCTAATTCATTGTTAACATGTACAAACTGAAATCGATCTGATAAATAGGACTTAAACCTGCTTAGAGCGGTTCCTTTAATGCCAATGAAATGTTCCAGCCTTTTCAATAGGATCTGATGGTCAATGGTATCAAATGCAGCACTAAGATCTAGTAAAACCAGTACAGAGACAAGTCCTTTGTCTGATGCAATGAGGAGGTCATTAAAATGTTTTTCTCCAGGGGATGAAGCAGTCTTCCCTCACTGCCCCTCTGGTTACCCTGACCTCACTGGATCTGAAATGTATAAATTCACATAGTGGGGGAGGTGTTAAACCATGTCTGATTTTATAAATTAAACAGATGTTTTTGAAATTAATTAGATTGTCCCAGGTAAGTAACTGATATTTCCTCAGAATACTACAGTGGTGGTAATGGTATGGTTTTTTATCCAGTATTTTTAATGCTTGTTTGTATAATGTTTCTAATGGTTTTATTGTTGCATGTAAAAGTCCACCCCAAAGGGAGTTCCCATTTCCCTCAGAAAACGCTGCTCCTGAACTGCCTGAAAACAGCTTGATTGTAGTCCAGCCTTTATTTCTGCAACCTATCTGTGTCACTTTGTAACACGCGTCACAATGCTTGCCTAGCGGCTAGTGTGGCACATCCTCAAAAACACAGGTGGAGAAACACACTGAGCTGCAGCTCACACAGTGACAAGACATCTGCTCACTGCCTCCAGTCTAGTTTGTGAACCAAAGCCGTGTTTTCCGGCTTGTCAGGACACGCCCTACTCTGCTTATGATTGGCTAGTAGTCCTTAATTAGGTACTGCGCATGTACAACTCCCAACAAAGATTTAATACTTTAATGTGGGATGCTTCCCCCGGCAGCTAAAACAGGGCCTTCAACACACAGGGTGAAAAGAGGAGCTGCAGCAATGTGCAGTTTGAAAAATATGGTGTTTTTGAAAATAAAACCAATAAAACCTGTTCTGGTACAACCCCTAAATAAAATTATGAACCTGAAAATGAGCATTATATCAGTACTTTAAAGAGGAGGCCTTCATGTTGGAGTATAAAGGAAAACCATACACACAGACCTATACTGTTCATTAAAATCATTACAGACAACTGCGTGAGTGTTTGGCTACATTTACCTCAGATTATTATAGTGCACTCTGAGCTGCTGGATTGGAGAAATCCCACCACTGACCTGTGTCTGCTGGGCTGTCCTTCACTTGCAGAAGATCCTGGAGTTTTTAATGAAAACCGTAGACACACTGCGCTCAGCCATTTTCTTAGTAAAACTAGCCCCGGTTGCCCCTGCTCACCTTATGCATGTTGTGTGTTTGCTCCATAGGCTCCCTCCCAGGCCAGTGTAACTTTGAAAATGGAGTCTGTGGCTACATCCAGGATAAGAAAGAAGACAAAGCTGACTGGCTGCGAGTCAGAGGACACACCCCCACCTCCTATACAGGGCCCAGAGGAGACCACACTACTGGGGTGGGTGAGTTATTTCCTTATTCATTGCTTTGTTCATCATCCAGAGCTCACTGTTTAAGAATTTAATCTCAGGAATTCAGACTTTGACAAGTTGTTGGCTGTTGGATGTGTGTTCTCATTCACACAGTATTCTGTTCTTCTTTGTGTGTAGTATTTAAATTTTTTACAGCTGCAAAAACAACTCTCCACTGAGATCAATAAAGTTTCAGACTTGTCCTGTCTCCGCTCTTTTGTCCTCTCTGTTCTTCCTCCAGGTTACTTCATGTACATTGAGGCGTCACTCATGCATCCCGGTCACAAAGCTCGGCTACGGACCTCTGTCCTGCGGGGCTCTTTGTCCCCTCAGTGTTTGATCTTCTACTACCACATGTATGGATCTGGCACCGGCATACTGAGCGTGCTTTTGCACCACGGCAGCAAAGAGCATGACACGCTGCTGTGGAGACGGCGTGGTGAGCAGAGCGTCAGCTGGATGAGGGCAATGGTGGACTACCACTGTGATGTTCGACACCAGGTACGTCATTGAGTAAATGACAACAATAAGAGAGTGGTTCCAAATATAGAGATGGTGAGGAAACACCAAACAGCTAGTAGCCTCCCATGTCTCTGTTCATCATCAAATTAATCTAGCTGATTACAGACTCTGGCAGAGTTGTAACTCTTAAAGTATTAAGGTCACATTTCCTGCATAATTATTTTTATATATCTGCTATTTGCATCTTCAAGTAATTAAGTAACTCAAGTAAAGATAATGTACTTTTAAACAATGCTGTTACAATGGTACAAATTTACCCGGAAACTACTTTGTATCTTTATGGCTGACAAACACGTGCGTTTCCGACCTCTAGACACAACGGGACAATATGGTCACTTGACATTGTATCGGACCAACCCTAGATGTCATGCGCTTATATATATCTTCACTAGTCAGATTTGTCAGGGGTCCAGAGAAAACTGATTTGAGACACACTTTAATAATCTCATTTCATCTGTGGGACATTAGGGTCTGGACTGACATGAACAAACTAGTGTAACAGACTGCTGTGTCTGAAACATGCTCTGGGCCAGTGGGCAAGTTCTTTTCTTGGCCATCATGTCGCATGACAAGTGATGGAGGAAATTGCTCATGAGTCCTCACAAAGCAGCCACTATTTTCCAGTATTATTTATGTTTAGCTTGGTTTTGGTCTATTTTGTGTTCACTGCGACCAAAGTCTCAGCCCAACAACCCAATTGACTTTTTCCCTGTACCAACTATTCAACATCTGAGTAGCTTTCTTTATCTGAGTTAGACGGACACTCTTGGTTAATTACATTGCTTTAAATTGCTCAGTGGAACAACGAATAAAGCCACTGGGACAGGTTGTTCTTTGGGTCAGATGTGACTGGTTGTTGTACTCTCAGGTGCATTAAGTGGCTATGCTACAAACAATTTCATTTTTCAGTTAATTGACAAGCCGCCAATTTACTAGCCTTTCATGAATGCTATTAGATTTTCAAACATTCTTTTGCTGAACATTATTTAGCATTGTAAATAATGTGTCAGAATATTTAGAGTCAAAATAAATCATGTCCATAATATGTTTGTCCCACCCACTTTTATGCGTCTAGTGGACATACTCTGTTTCACATAGTTTTTTTCCTACAGATTATATTTGAAGCCATCCGAGGCCCATCACTACGAAGTGATATTGCTATTGACGACATCCTTATTAAAAGAGGACCATGTGAAGGTTAGTATAACACACAGTCTAAAGATCATACCTATTTCACTCTAGACTGCTGTTGTTGTGTCTTTACTTGTCCACTTTCATCTCTATGTCAAACTAATGCAGACATATTGTAACTGTACACAAAAGCAAAGTTTAAGATATTTTTCTCTTTAAACCAGACTTTGTTATGATATTTGTACAGTTCAGCAATACTAAATGCATTGTTTTACTCATATCTGTGTTGTCTTGTTGTTCTCTTTAGATCCTGGTGACATCATTCCATACTCAGGCTTCTCAGAGTATTTCAATGAGATTGAGAACTGAGACTGGCAGAGAGTCTTTCTATATAAATGCTTTGTAGTTTTTCATAGTTGGGCTGGGTTTCTTTCAGAAGTGTAAATGTGAATAATCCACCAAGACAATTTACAAAGCTGAAGAGCAATGCTTGTGATGCAGCTAGCACCTCCACTGGGAGAGAGTTAGAAGATGACAAATTTACAGTTTGCTCACGTTCTCAAAAATCATGTATGTAAATCATGGTGCAGTGTGGTCTCACTCTGTATAGATATGCCAACACATAAATCAAATGTTTGCCAAGTGTTGTTTTTGAGTTGAGAATTATTTTTCTTTGGTCCTTTCATTGGGGTAACTTACTAAATTAACAATAGAGAAAAGACTCTCAGTAACACTAAACACTCCTTTAGGTCACACATTTTAGATAGAGATAGAACTTGCTCCAGATTCTTACAGATTCATTGTAGAGCCCTTTGAGACACAACTTAAAGTAATCCAGTGATTTAGTAATGCAATTCCATTGAGTGACACAAAAAAGAATGGTGAAAATAAAAGCTGAGGCTGAGATATCCTGACTTTTAGTCCATAGTATGAGTCAAACTCCAAAAACACTTTACCAATAATGCAACACAATCATATGTTTTCATGAGACCCCCCTGCCTGGTAAACAGCTACATATTTTAAACTGCGTGCCCCCAGTTTGTAATGTTTGGCTTTCTATTCATTGGCCACAGAGGCAAAGAAAAACTTCCTTTTAGGAGGTAGAAACCTCTAGCAAAACCTATATTCAGGGTGGGTGGCCATCTGCCTGGACTGGGTGGGGAAAGACAGCGGAGAGGGGGGAATGAGCCATTTCCACTATTTAGTGGAACTAGCAAAAGTGGATTAAGATGCTATGCGTTTTGGACATTAAAGTAGGGGCCATATAGTTAAACAGAGTGACCAATCTGTGCTTAGTTTATGTACTGTGTTGATTTGTTATCAGACACATCTACTGAAAGCGACAGAAGCAGAAAGGAAAGGGCAGAGAAAGTACAAAACTATGGGGAGATGGAAGAAGTTGAGTTAGTAGCATGCATTAATGGGATGAGAATGCATACAGATGGAGAGGGAGAGGAGGAGAGAGGAGCTCATCGCAATTTTTCTACCAGATATTGCGATTACACTTTGCGACTTTTTAAAAAAAGTTTAGTTTTTGTATGAGGACAAAAATGAAACAGGATTTGCAGTGCTTTCTTGCTGCCGTCTTGATAATAGTTTACAGAGTAATGTTACCATGTTTTTGGGTCTGTGTCTAAAACACTCCCAAACTTTAGATGCTCGTAGGCGAGGGTTGTATTTGCTGTAGTTTGTTCTCCAGGGGAGTCTCTGCTTAAACTGTGTGTGACGCGCCGTCGCACGTGATGCTATTCCATAATGTCTATTACATACTATCAGGTGTTTGAATTTGCAAAGGTACTGAGGTTTGAATGCCAATACATAAAATCTTGCTAATATTTCTCACACATCCCATATCGGAATATAACTAAAATTGTTTAGGTTATTTTTTCATCAATCATTTCAATCATTTTTTATGTTAATTGATCTGAGTCACAAAGAAGGCACTTAAATAGAAAGGTTCACTTCTACTAACTACTGCCACTAACAGAGTTACCAAGAGGTAGCTTCTCCATTGACCTCTAGACTCTGTATTTCTCGTTTATCTCACAATTCTATTAACCCTAGACACTATGGTGCATGAATCTGGTCATGGTTGTTGAACCACCATGTGCACCAGTAAACATAATCTGAATGATCAAGCAATGATCACATCATACTTACTGAAGTAACTGCTGAGCATCCTTTTGACACAGAGCCTCATCCTGGGAATCTGGATTGGGAGTGGAGAAATAGGAGAGTATCATCACTTTGCATTTCAATATTCCCCGACTGCACATCGTCATGTATTCCTTCATCAACAGAAAAACGGTTTAGAACAGGATCATGTCCTTCTCTTAAATTCTGTGATCAGTTATGTCAGTCAAAGTTAGGAGGTGTGAGTGCTTGCAGTTACTGATATTCCCATTTGGTGATAGTGACAGTAGAATTCCAAAATGAGCTGCATCTCAATATGGTTAGTGGGCCAAAAAATAATTTTAATTTTGAAAAAACTCCCGGGCCATATAAATTAAGGTATTGGGTTGCACATGGCCTGCAGACTGTAGTTTGGTATTCTATCCAGCTTTCCAACACTTTGACAATGACGGCTGTCCAGATAAGTTGAAATTTAGTATGGATATTTATGGCCAAAATTTTCCCCTCAACCAACACTTTGGTAAAGCATTAGTTTTGAAGTATTTTATCTTCTGTCATCTGTCATTCTTGTTTTTTGTTTATCTTTTATATAGCTAACATGCAGGATATATACAGCATGTAAAGAAAAAAGGTAGACAAGATATTGCCTATCTATATTGCTATTGCAGCAATTCTATACTGTTTCATATTCAGTAATGTTGTGGGTATACATGTCATACTTACATCTGTTACATTTTATCAGAACAATCACTATTTAAGGAAGAAATATCTAAATAATTCTAAACAGAAATATATATTTTATAATAAAGGTGACACGTGCTTATGTATTTATGATCACCGTATCACTGTTCAAACAAAAGGGTTTATACAAAACCTACGTGGCATTACTAGAGCTCTAACGATTTATCGTTGTGCAGATATTATCGGCCAATATGTGCTACTTGTAGGTAAATCGGTATCTGCATTTATAACAGCCAATTTATGACTATTAAAAAAGAAACAGAGGGTCAGATCCTTCACTCATGTCAGAAGTATTGCATAGTTTGCCCACCAGGGCATTCTGCAACTCCCCTTTTTATAAGACTGCTGTACCACAAAACAAAAGAATCAGCTGACCGGAGTCTACTGGAGCATACAGGAACGGAGAGTGGCTGTGTTACCGGTGAGTTGGTCAGTCGTCAAATGAAATACAAGACTTAAATGATAAAATCTGACCCCAGCACTTCTCTTTTCCTGAAAACATCCATGACCACACTAGGTAACCCTCCCGTTTTTCATTCCCCTCTCCCGACTTCCTCCCAGGTCACAGCAGTATGTTTAATGTTACAATAGGTGAGTGGTGGAGGCTTTGCTGTTGAAAGACATGATTGTAGATTTATTTCTGAAACAATGAAACTCTTATTTCTCCCTAGTTCATTTCCTCTAAATATTTTCTAATATCGCCTACGGCAGCTAACGCTGTCCATTGCTAAATTAGATTAGCCACAAAGCAGTTGAACAATCAATGACTAGCAGCTATGTACAGCTTCCTAACCTCCACAACCCAGCTGTATTCTAACGTTAACATAGCTAGTCTCAGATATTGACAGCGTTAATAAAAACATACAGTATCTCGCAAAAGTGAGTACAGCACTCTCATATTTGTAAATATTTGATTCTATCTTTTCATGTGACAACACTGAAGAAATGCCACTTTGCTCCAGTGTAAAGTAGTGAGCGTACAGCTTGTATAACAGCGTAAAGTAGTGAGCGTACAGCTTGTATAACAGTGTAAAGTAGTGAGCGTACAGCTTGTATAACAGTGTAAAGTAGTGAGCGTACAGCTTGTAAAACAGTTTAAAGTAGTGAGCGTACAGCTTGTATAACAGTGTAAAGTAGTGAGCGTGCAGCTTGTATAACAGTGTAAAGTAGTGAGCGTACAGCTTGTATAACAGTGTAAAGTAGTGAGCGTACAGCTTGTATAACAGAGTAAAGTAGTGAGCGTGCAGCTTGTATAACAGTGTAAAGTAGTGAGCGTACAGCTTGTATAACAGTGTAAAGTAGTAGCGTACAGCTTGTATAACAGTGTATAGTGAGCGTACAGCTTGTATAACAGTGTAAAGTAGTGAGCGTACAGCTTGTATACAGTGTAAAGTAGTGAGCGTACAGCTTATATAACAGTGTAAAGTAGTGAGTGTACAGCTTGTATAACAGTGTAAAGTAGTGAGCGTACAGCTTGTATAACAGCGTAAAGTAGTGAGCGTACAGCTTGTATAACAGTGTAAAGTAGTGAGCGTACAGCTTGTATAACAGTGTATAGTGAGCGTACAGCTTGTATACCAGTGTAAAGTAGTGAGCGTACAGCTTGTATACCAGTGTAAAGTAGTGAGCGTACAGCTTATATAACAGTGTAAAGTAGTGAGCGTGCAGCTTGTATAACAGTGTAAAGTAGTGAGCGTACAGCTTGTATAACAGCGTATAGTGAGCGTACAGCTTGTATACCAGTGTAAAGTAGTGAGCGTACAGCTTATATAACAGTGTAAAGTAGTGAGCGTGCAGCTTGTATAACAGTGTATAGTGAGCGTACAGCTTGTATACCAGTGTAAAGTAGTGAGCGTGCAGCTTGTATAACAGTGTAAAGTAGTGAGCGTACAGCTTGTATAACAGTGTAAAGTAGTGAGCGTGCAGCTTGTATAACAGTGTAAAGTAGTGAGGTGCAGCTTGTATAACAGTGTAAAGTAGTGAGCGTACAGCTTGTATAACAGTGTAAAGTAGTGAGCGTACAGCTTGTATAACAGTTTAAAGTAGTGAGCGTACAGCTTGTATAACAGTTTAAAGTAGTGAGCGTACAGCTTGTATAACAGCGTAAAGTAGTGAGCGTACAGCTTGTATAACAGCGTAAAGTAGTGAGCGTACAGCTTGTATAACAGCGTAAAGTAGTGAGCGTACAGCTTGTATAACAGCGTAAAGTAGTGAGCGTGCAGCTTGTATAACAGTGTAAAGTAGTGAGCGTACAGCTTGTATAACAGTGTAAAGTAGTGAGCGTACAGCTTGTATAACAGCGTAAAGTAGTGAGCGTACAGCTTGTATAACAGCGTAAAGTAGTGAGGGTGCAGCTTGTATAACAGTGTAAAGTAGTGAGCGTACAGCTTGTATAACAGTGTAAAGTAGTGAGCGTACAGCTTGTATAACAGTGTAAAGTAGTGAGCGTACAGCTTGTATAACAGTTTAAAGTAGTGAGCGTACAGATCGTATAACAGCGTAAAGTAGTGAGCGTACAGCTCGTATAACAGTGTAAAGTAGTGAAGTAGAAGCACAAAAAGCAAGTACTGATTACCAAATCAACAAAATCTAAAATCTAAACATATCAGCAAAATCAGGCAGGCAAAATACTCTGATTCTGAAAAGCTGCTTGTGGGATATGCAGCCTGACGGAACAAAGCGGGGTCACAGAGATTCTTGAAGAAGGTAGTAAAATAACAAATTAAATTAGTAAAAATGAATAACAAGTCAATAAGGTGGGGCAGTCT